ATTATGTCATGTGTTCATAAGTCTTACTTATATATGTGATATTTTCTAGTCTTCGATTACTAAGAAAAGATATTACCACCTCTCAGCAGATGGGAAAAAACCATCAATACGTTCAGTTATACATGCTGTTTTATAACTATCCATGGCAGGGGTTTAAGTCAGCTCTTGAGGCATGGGTGGGGAGCGTAATATCATCGTCATGATCACTTGTACCATATGCTATAGGCAGACAGACAGACAGACAGGCGAATTTCGATTTCTAGACCCTATCCTTTCAGTCAAGGTAAAATTTCTGTCTAAATTCTAGTCTCTCTTTATAGCTCTGTTAAATTATATATTAACCCTGCTGTTAAAAACAAAAAAAATTATATCATTTGAAAGTCGCTCATACACCGCAATCTTAACTTCTTCACAATTAACACTAAATATAGCAAAAACATCTGGTACATTGAAGTGTTCTAATATTTGTAATTGATTAGAATTTCATTAACTTCAAGTCATCGACACCTAAACAATATTAAATAAATTTGTAACACTGATCTTTTGAGAAGAAAAGGGCTTCATCAGGTAAATTATCTAAGTCGATAGTCATTACATATATATTGTACTTATTGGAGAAGAATATAGGTGTATTCGACAGAAATAATGCTATTGTGACAGATAATTGTGATTTATGCAACGATGAGAAACGGTGAAATAAAAAACGAAGCGCACTAAACTTTATTGTGCTAGTCTCAATCAAAACCTTAATCATTTTTTCACTTATCTCAACATAACTCTGATTGAATAACGTGAGATGTATTGATGAAGTACTTGATCTCACGCACTTTTTTTGTCAGAATAAACTTTCACTTTTATGTATTATATATGATTCTTATTATCTAACATGTTTTAGCTTTTCGTTCAGCAACAATAAACTTTAAAACAACATTCTACAAGGGGCTAATAATTCTGAGAATCTGTCTTCTAATGATAATAATGAGAAAAAACATTTACAGAACCTATCGAAAAATAAGATTCCTGACTGCATCAGATCTTAATCGACACCCACACCCAGCCAAGCAAGAGAAATTGGAAGTAAATACGGTCTCAAAAACACTTGGAAACATTCATTAGGATCCAGTAGGGATCCATCGGGATCCAGTGGGATCCAGCGGGATCCAGTGGGATCCAATGGGATCCAGCGGGATCCAGTGGGATCCAATGGGATCCAGCGGGATCCAGTGGGATCCAGCGGGATCCAATGGGATCCAGCGGGATCCAGCGGGATCCAATGGGATCCAGTGGGATCCAGCGGGATCCAATGGGATCCAGCGGGATCCATAGGATCCATCGGGATCTGCAGGATCCTGGGATCCGGGATCCGCTTTTTCCCCCTTGAGCGGAGCGATAAGGCCAAGCAAAAAGAAAAAAAAACAGAAATTCATTTCAGCTCACGGGTATTTAATAATAATATTGACTTGCGAAATCAATTTTTGTTGCTCGCATCGTCGAAGATTTTCATTCAATCAAGATCTTTGCTAAAATAAGTTGGCAAATAGAAACACTCTACTGTACTTTACAAGAGTTCATTGTCTATTAACATAATCTTATTACATTGTGCATACACTCTTCTCTATAAAAGGAAGATAAACGCTGCAATTGCAACAAATTTGTGATTGTCTTACATGGCATCGGCAACACAGAAAGCAACGGTTGTGCCGGTCAGAAGGCAGCTATAGCTCGTACGTACTTAATGATATCTGTAAAATGCTAGACTAAATATGTTTCTATTTTAATAGCCGAAACGATCATCTGTTAGACCAGAGAGAATCCCTGATCCGTCCGTTCACGTACAGAGGAGATCTCGATCAGTAAGTGCGAAGACTAGAAAGATTAGACCATGGAGTGATTCAACCAAAGCAAACACCCAGTTTTCTGTTCATGTGATAAAGATAACTCGACCACTGAGCTATAAGAAAAAGGTGATAGAACCCTCAAACAATTCTAACGAGGCAAACAAGCAGTTCGTTCATGTGCAAAGAGTCAATCGTTGATCGGATTTTCAGAAGAAGATGCTGGTACCATCAAATGATAAGCATATCGCAAATCAATCACCAGTACAAAGAGAATATAGCAGCACATCGACTGAAGTAAGGAATTTTCTTCAAAGCAACATATTAGTCTGATCGTAACTAAGCAAATAGACGAGAAGCTATTAAAACGCTGTACATTATTAACAGAAATTCTCCAAACTAATTCGGGGATAAATCACTAATGTAAGGTATAAGACTTTCGTGCAATCGGTTGACTTCATGATCAAGCCACAAACATTTTTGCCAAACACGTTTTTTAATGAATCTTGGCGTAGCTACTGAGAATAGCCAGCTCTATTCAAACTTGCCTGGCAAACAACGTCAATTATGTCGATCGAGCAAGTAGCTACGTAGTCAGAAAAGATTACAGGGTAAAGGAAAGATTCTACTGGCTTCTATTCACAACTACATTACTAAGAGCAGGAAGAAAATCAGATTTTGTGAAATTTTCTGGAGTTTACTCCTCTAGAAGTTACATTCTTCAATCGTTACCTTGGAATTTTGAGCAAATACCAAGTGCTGACATTGATGCTATTGCATCCAATGCAAGCACTGTGATTAACGTAGTGGTTTTTCTCATTGAAGATCGAAGTAGTTCCTATATTCCCTATAGTTAAAATGCACAGGTATTACATTATGTCATAAGCCTTTTTATAGCTATAGATAAAAAAATAGTGAAATTGCGCTAGGCCATGAATCTGATTGTAGAAGCTTCGATCTTAACTTTTTTGATATTTGAAAGAAGTGTCTTTTTGAAGTTGGTTTCTTATCATGTAATGGAGATAGTGCTGCAAATCAGATTGAGGACCAAATCGGAATAGTAGTTGAGTTCTGATATTCAAGAAGAAATCAATTAGAAACACATGAATGCAATTCGAATACTTTTTTAAAATGGTTCGTTGCAATTGCATCCAATTATCATGTGATCTCTTCCACAACACTGATATATTCTATCACCACATATTTCTCTATGATGTTTCATCATCCCTACATATAGGATAGAAATAATCAATATCCGATAAACGTTACATGTTGTCTCACAATCACAAACCCATGTATTCTTGATAGTTATAGTTGTTTTTGCTAATACTCTATTTCGTTGAACAAGTTTTTTCTCTCCGCTAAATGATGTGCTTTCGTACACATAAATTGGCTTACATTTTTTAGTTAGATAATAAAAGTAAATCTCGACTCATGCCTCTCAGCAATCGACAAACAAGCAATTAAAAATGTTGCCTTATGTTTAACATAATAATTTTAACCTAAAATAACTGATAAGTTTTTCGATTAGAATGTGAATTTCTCTTACATTGAAGTTGCAGATGATGAACATAGTCAAGCATCATGAGAAACGACTACAGTTGCCGTATTTCATTAATCAAATATTTTTCAAGTTTCCTTAGTTCATGGATTGAGTATAGTTTAGTGACACAACAACATTTAATTAAGAATGAAATTTTTCACATTCGGATTTGTCAATTTTGAACATTTGAACACGATAATTCGCCAAATCGACTACGTACAAGTTACCATGTCGATCAAATGACAAATCAAATGGTTCAGTGAGTTGATCAGATCCATTACCTGATTCGACACCTCCAACAATCACAATACCTTCTTTGCTTCCTTTTAAATAACGTATCACTCGATTATTCGAAGTGTCGGTCACGTAAATAGAACCCATTTGGTCAACAACGACTGAAGTAGGAATACTTAACTGATTCATTTCACTGCCTGATTCATTCCCACCAGCAATCAGAATGCCTTCTTGCGCGTTTTCGATCCATTTCATTATTCGATTATTGAGATGATCGGCCACAAATACGGATCGATCTTTATCAATAAATGAATAGTATGGCTCATTGAGTTGATTGAAATCTGAACCCTGTCCATGTCCACCAGCGACAATTTCTCCAATTCTATTTGTTCCAATATGCCATCGAGTGACACGATGTTCACGAAAATCAGTGACATACAAAAATTGATTACTTTGAATCATCAAACCAGCACAAGATATATTTGAAATAAATGTTTCTCCATTAGAAGCGCCTCGTGGCCATCGAATCACTCGACTATTCCCATAATCACAAATAAACATTGTCCCATTCTTGTCAATAGCAAGATCAATGGGATAAAATATACCATCGTTAATGCCTTGTTCATTGGCCACAANAAGTAGAGGTTGTGGTCAGGAAAGTGGATTAGAATAATGTGATTGGGTAAATTCTTTAATCGCAAAGTGATAACTCTCAGTCTATCACAAGTAGCAAAAAACTCGTTTTTACTTTCACTTAATGAAAGTACTCCCTAAAGTGATAAAAGATAGAATCAATCAAGGGGGAAAAAGCGAATTCCGGGATCTATTGGGATCCGTGGGATCTAATGGGATTCAGTGGGATCCGTGGGATCCAATAGGATCCAACGGGATCCAACAGGATTCAGTGGGATTCGTCGGAATCCATCAGGATCCACTGACATTTATTAACATAAACTGCATTCTGAAGAATTTACAAGAAAAAAAGTACACTAAGGAGTGTCATATGATAAAAATTAATAAATGAAAACATGAGGTAGAAGAGCTGCAATGATCATTATGTCATGTGTTCATAAGTCTTACTTATATATGTGATATTTTCTAGTCTTCGATTACTAAGAAAAGATATTACCACCTCTCAGCTGATGGGAAAAAACCATCAATACATTCAGTTATACATGCTGTTTTATGACTATCCATGGCAGGGTTTAAGTCAGCTCTTGAGGCATGGATGGGAACGTAATATCATCGTCATGGTCACTTGTACCATATGCTATAGACAGACAGACAGACCGACAGGCGAATTTCGATTTCTAGACTCTATCCTTTCAGTCAAGGTAAAATTTCTGTCTAAATTATAGTCTCTCTTTATAGCTCTGTTAAATTATATATTAACGCTGCTGTTAAAAACAAAAAAAATTATATCATTTGAAAATCGCTCATATACCGCAATCTTAACTTCTTCACAATTAACACTAAATATAGCAAAAACATCTGGTACATTGAAGTGTCCTAATATTTGTAATTGATTAGAATTTCATTAACTTCAAGTCATCGACACCTAAACAATATTAAATAAATTTTGTAACATTGATCTTTTGAGAAGAAAAGGGCTTCATCACGTAAATTATCTAAGTCGATAGTCATTATATATATATATATTGTACTTATTGGAGACAAATATAGGTGTATTCGACAGAAATAATGTTATTGTGACAGATAATTGTGATTTATGCAACGATTAGAAACGGTGAAATAAAAAAGGAAGCGCACTAAACTTTATTGTGCTAGTTTCAATCAAAACCTTAATCATTTTTTCACTTATCTCAACATGTACCAGTGGCGTAGCCAGGGGTAGGGCCATTGGGCAATTGCCCATAGCTCCAAAAGTTATTGCCCACGGATCTATTGATCTATGCAGTGCTTGAACAGTTATTGCCCACAGATATTTTTGAAATTATCAGGGTTGCCCTCAGCTGCCCATAACTCAAAATAGTTTAGCTGGTGAATTGCCCATGACTCAAAAATTCCTGGCTACGCCACTGACATGAACTCTGATTGAATAACGTGAGATATATTGATGAAGTACTCGATCTTCCGCATTTTTTTTTGTCAGAATAAAATTTCACTTTTCTGTATTATATATGATTCTTATTCTCTAACATGTTTTAGCTATTCGTTCAGCAACAATAAACTTTAAAACAACATTCTACAAGGGGCTAATAATTCTGAGAATCTGTCTTCTAATGATAATAATGAGAAAAATCACTTACAGAACCTATCGAAAAATAAAATTCCTGACTGCATCAGATCTTAATCGACACCCACACCCACCCAAGCAAGAGAAATTGGAAGTTAATACGGTCTCAAAAACACTTGGAAACATTCATTAGGATCTAGACGAGATCCACCGGGATCCAGCTGGATCCATCGGGATCTGCAGGATCCTGGAATCCGGGATCCGCTTTTCTCCCCTTGTTTTTTACAATACAATGATTTTAAACGAATCAAATAAATTCATAGAAAAGTAATTATAAATGTGAAAATTTTCGAAATGATAAAATTCCAGAATAGGCGTATTGACTATAAAATTTGATTTAGTCATTTATTTGACATTTTTCAAAATAGATTATTTTTAAAGCTCTGACAATACATCAAAAATTGATAAAATTCAGAGCTTGTGAGCTCCACACTTTGGCTTCATTAGAGCTTTTATTGGCTATTTAGAGTATTATCGGTAAGGATTTAAACTATAAGCGACGTGACCACAAGAATATGAACAGTATTTTTCTAGCATTCCAAACCCTTATTAATAGAGTTTCAGAGTTTTATCAAATTTTTCTTGTTAGAACAATCACCATTTACGCTTTGAAGTGTCAAAACTACTTAGAGCATTCCAAAAATAGTGGCCGTCCTATCTCAAGCTTGTATATACGGTTTGAAGAAATTTTCTTTTTATATTAACTGATAATAAAAACAAAGCTCTACTGTTCTACGCTATTGGATCATTATTCATTTAAAATCATAATAATAAAATTACCATTGCATTTGTTTAGCTATCATATATAACAATAACATTAGTTCATATGACTTTAGATTGTCCAGAGTGGAAAAAAATGAAGGATAGGTATTAGTTATTCCTAATTCGCTGGATTCAATTCATTAAAAATCATATGGAACACGGTGGCAAATGAACTCTTTCCCTGCAGCCTCTTTTGTCTCCGTGTTTCACTATCTTTTTCCTTTTCTTCTTTTTGTCTCCCTTTTTGCTGTGCCACATTATTATAAGCATCCGTAGACGTAATAAACATGCATATTCAAAAAAAGAAAAAAAATTAGTTCATATTGTCTTCGATATGTATTCTTGTCTTGATCTTCTCTTTGTTCTTCTCCTCTCTGTTCTTTATTCTTTATTCTTGTCTCTTTGGATGCTGAACCGTCTAGTACATTTATAAGAATATACAAAAAGTTAGTGGCAATACAACAAAAAAGAAACACAGAAACAAATTCAGTAAGTTTTTATTTCATCAAGTGTTCGAAATAATCGCCTTGCTCATCTACACACAATCGCATTTGTTGAATCCATCTATCGAATATTTTTCATACTCTTATTTATCCAAAGAGTTCATGAAACAATCGTCTTCACTCTCACTCTCAATAACAAAGAGAAGATCAAGACAAGAATACACATCGAAGACAATATGGACTAATTTTATCGTTACATATCATAGCTAAACAAGTCTAATAAAAATTTTATTATTTATGATATTAAATTAAATATGATCAAATAGTGTAGAAATGTAGAGTTTTATTTTTCCTACGAGTCTATAGAAAAAGAAAACTTCCTTAATCCGTCTATACGAAATTGAGACAGAATGGTCACTGCTTTTGATATGCCCCAATTATTATATGCTACAAACGAGATTGAAGGTCGTATTAATATTGCCTTTGTGTATTTTTCATTTTCGAAATTAAAATTTTTAATTGTCGGTGTGATATATTTCTTATGTTACTTCTCTATTTATTTTCATTAGTTTATTATTATAGCTAAATGGAATGGCATAGAAAATGTCGAAAAAAAAAATGTCGAAAGTAAAAACGTCGAAAAAAAAACGTCGAAAAAGAAAATGTCGAAACAAAAAATGCCGAAATAAAAAAGGACGAAAAAAAAGGTCGAAAAAAAAAACGTCGAAAGAAAAATGATCGAAAGATAAACATATCGAAAGAAAAAATATCGAACGTCTAAAATGTCGAAAAGTTCCAAGATGGTCAATATANTATATTTAGAGACATTGCGACGAAGATTATTATAAAGAGATTGATCATAGTATTGTTCACCACAATGAACCTTTAGTGTAGGTGTACTAAATTCTTCTAAATATAATTGAATTTTATCTATGATAAAATCATTTGTGAATCGATTATATTGAAATGACAATTGAATATGTTGGAGTTCATTGGCAAAGTCGGCAACATTCGTACAACATCTTGTTGCGCGTAGAAGCGCTGCTCGAAGTAATGTATGATATCGATTGCGTGGATGACCAAATACATAAGGTAATGAGTATGGTTCAATGTGTAAATCATGAGCAACTTGTATTTTGAGATCACCCTTATGTTGTTGAATGTGAAGATCGAGATAATTAATATGATCATTTGCGACCAACGTGATTTGAATTTCCGGTTGATATCGATTCATCGTATGAAGTAAATCATGAAGTCTTTCTTGTGATTCATTCCATGTAAAAAATATTTCGTCAAAGCATCTATGTATTTGCATATGTGTATAACTAAGAAAAAGAATGCATATGAAGAATACTATGTTTACCTGCCAAAGATTTCATTTTGAACGTTTAAAATTGCCATTAATTCTTGTTGCCAATAATAGATGTAGATATTCGTTAAGAGGATTGTCAATGGTGCATTACAAGCACCTCCTTGCATCTGTTGATAGAATTTGTTTTCATAAAGAATATATTGATTTTCAACAACGAGTCGAACAAGATCTAGTATCGTTGGTAGAGTTAAACCTTCCATTTCTCGACCGAACAGATATTCACAAAGAAAACGTTGTAAGGTCGTATACATGTGTTCATGTGGAATTAAGGTCGATAGATCATGAATGTGTAAAGCAACAAACAAAGTATTCGATCGAAGAAGACCTTTCTTGTTATACTCTTCCAGAGCAGTGATGACATCAACACCTGTATTAAATGTTTTCGAAACCGTAACATGATTATATATAGGTTGAAGAAGACGAATAAGAAAACGAGATAGATTTATTGTTAAACGATGATGAGTCTGTATCATTGGATAAAATGGAACATTTTCCTAGAGATTTCAAAAAACAAAAATGAATAATTGAAAAGAAATTCATATCTTCATCATACTCGGCGTGTATCCGGTAAAAAGTAGAGAGTATCTAGTCGGTTCGTTGATCGATTGGCGTTCAACTTTTCCCATTGTGAATACGATATCAATTTATCGTGGCATAAATTATTCAATTTATCAGTTATGTGACGGTCTATACTGTTAAAAATAATTTCAATATAATGTTGATCTGTTACATTCAATTCCATAATGAACCGATAAGCACCTGTACGTATCATATGTTCAAGTACTTTCTCTTGCATTTCCGTTCTTTCACACAAGTAATAAGCATACGTATTGTATGCTGTTAATAAAATACGATTCTTCGCTTGTAATTGTCGTCGAATGATTTCAATGTATTTTTTTCGTCTAATCAGATACAAGGGACGTCCATTTATTTTATTTTCAGATAGATTCACCAGTTTTTCTTCGCCATTGTCATTAACTTTGTTTTCATCTATACGTGGGACAACAACATCGATCGATTGATTAATTTTATCAACCATTTTTTCATAAAAGAGTGTAATATGATGAGAGGAAAAGAAAAATCTGAAACAAATAGATCAATATAAATCCACTCTACACTTTAGTTTTAATTCAAATCAAACACTATACATGTGAAAAACAAAAGTGAATTATACAATGATTTTTTCATGTTTTTCGTTTATCATCGAAGTATGTCGTGTCGGCGTCATTATCTAGAATGAATAATTTATTCAACTAAACAAAAATGAAAATATCATCAATACATACGATCTTATTCATGAGTGTCATTGATGAGTAAAGTGAAACGATGATAATAGAGTTATGAGAAGATAGTGAAACCGATCAGTAGATAGAACATTAACTGGACCAGAGATAGCATATTCTAGGATCGAATAGATACGTATGTAATAGACAAAACAAAAATAATTATTTTCTAGAAAATATAACGAACTCGAAATCAGTCTAAAAAAAGTATCTACGACACTTCTTAATCATAAGGGCAAGGGGGAAAAAGTGGATCCCGGGATCTATTGGGATCCAGTGGGATTCGGTGGGATCCGTCGGGGTCTATCAGGATCCACTGATATTTATTAACCTAAACTGCATTCTGAAGAATTTACAAGAAAAAAAGTACATTAAGGAGTGTCATATTATAAAAATTTATAAATGAAAACATGAGGTAGAAGAGCTGCAATGGTCATTATGTCATGTGTTCAAAAGTCTTACTTATATATGTGATATTTTCTATTCTTCAATTACTAAGAAAAGATATTACCACCTCTCAGCAGATGGGAAAAAACCATCAATACATTCAGTTATACATGCTGTTTTTGTTATTATCCATGGCAGGGGTTTAAGTCAGCTCTTGATGCATGGGTGGGGAGCGTAATATCATCGTCATGGTCACTTATACCATGTGCTATAGACAGACCAATTTCAATTTCTAGACCCTATCCTTTCAGTCAAGGTAAAATTTCTGTCTAAGTTATAGTCTTTCTTTATAGCTCTGTTAAATTATATATTAACGCTGCTGTTAAAACAAAAAAAAATGATATCATTTGAAAGTCGCTCATATACCGCAATCTTAACTTCTTCACAATTAACACTAAGTATAGCAAAAACATCTGGTACATTGAAGTGTTCTAATATTTGTAATTGATTAGAATTTCATTAAATTCAAGTCATCGACACCTAAACAATATTAAATAAATTTGTAACATTGATCTTTCGAGAAGAAAAGGGCTTCATCAGGTAAATTATCTAAGTCGATAGGCATTATATATATATTGTACTTATTGGATAAGAATATAGGTGTATTCGACAGAAATAATGTTATTATGACAGATAACTGTGATTTATGCAACGATTAGAAACGGTGAAATGAAAAAGGAAGCGCACTAAACTTTATTGTGCTCGTCTCAATCAAAACCTTAATCGTTTTTTCATTTATCTCAACATGAACTCGGATTGAATAACGTGAGATGTATTGATGAAGTACTCGATCTTCCGCACTTTTTTTTCCTCAGAATAAAATTTCACTTTTATGTATTATATATGATTCTTATTATCTAACATGTTTTAGCTTTTCGTTCAGCGACAATAAACTTTAAAACAAAATTCTACAAGAGGCTAATAATTCTGAGAATCTGTCTTCTAATGATAATAATGAAAAAAAAACACGTACAGAACCTATCGAAAAATAAAATTCCTGACTGCGTCAGATTTTAATCTACACCCACACCCACACCCACACCCAGCCAAGCAAGAGAAATTGGAAGTTAATACGGTCTCAAAACACTTGGAAACATTCATTAGGATGCAGTGAGATCCAACGGGATCCATAGGAATCTGCAGGATCCTGGGATCCGGGATCCGCTTTTCCTCCTTGCATAAGAGTGTGTTAAAAATGAAAATTCAAAAAAAAGCGAACTTACCAGTAACGACGTCAAAGCGTAAAAAGAAAATATCCGAAGTATAATCTTTTGACTGATTCAAACTGTTTGATGTTCAATTTTCAGTAAATTGAATCATAATTGAAATTGTTTGTTTCCGGTAGTAGAGATTAGAATTATGGCTTCTTTGTAGAAAAGACACACAAAATTTTCTACAATATCAATTCATATTTTATTTAAATGACACCATGATAAGAGTCTGAAGAGTTCTTTTTGATATATATTATATTGTAATTTACTTTTTTTTCATATCTAATAGTTCGTCATACGTCAATAGTATGCAAACGACAAAATTCTTTCAATCTTCATTGAAATATTTCTAGATTCAGTTGTATATTGACCAATTTCGTTCTTCCATAGTATCATATGAGCTGCGACACAACTGTTGAATTACATCGATTTCATTGCATTATATGATGGATAAAGTTAAGTGATGCATTTTGACAGTTTTCATGGAAATTTCATTGAACACTACTGTAGGAGTAGGTAGGTATACGAGACAGGGATCCACATCGCATCTCTCTCCATGCGTGTGCCACAAAAGGAATCACACCGCATCTCTCTGCATGTGGGTGTTACGGAAGGAGTCACATTGCATCTCTCTCCATGCGTGTACCACAAAAGGAATCACACCGCATCTCTCTGCATGTGGGTGTTACGGAAGGAGTCACATCGCATCTCTCTCCATGCGTGTGCCACGAGGAGGCTTCGAGGGCGAGACATATGCGTCGCATACCTACCTACCCCTACACTAATGTTTAATGGAGTTTCCAAGGTAACTCACAAAACGCATTAAATCGATAAAATTAATGAAAATGGAACATTTTTTGAAACTGTCTTGAAGATTTGATGTTGTTGATTGAGATCAAAAACACTTCCATTGTGTTCCAAGTGGATATCCGCATGAAAAATTCAAACATATATGCATGAATACTTGCAATAAAATTTTCAATCTTTAATTGTCTTACTTATTTGATTGACTGGATTTAATGTAGATAAACAATTTAGAGTGACCATGCTATATATAGTGACCAGTACAGAACGAATTATATATATATATATATATATATGATATATTTTGATGTTCTGATAAAGATAATTGAATTTATCTACAACTAACATAGATTAACATATAAGGTAAGGAACACATGAAATAAATAGAAAAACAATGTACTCATATTCTATGGACATAAAATGAAGGAAACAAAACAAAACAAGACAACTAATTGAGAAACAAAAGAGGCCACCATGGTTGAAATATATAGATTATACAGTGAGTGTTTTCTCATTAGGTATATGACAAGAAACTATAGCAAAATAGCTACAAGTAGAGTGGAGGTCAATTGAATTTTCCGACTTTGTCTTTTATTGGTGTTTATAACTATACTTCTTTTGTTTTGTTAACCCGCTTTAGATAGGTACAAAGCCCAGAACGCGTTGCATCTTTTAATATATTTATACTGAACACCGAATACATTTTAAAATGTAAAGAATGTATTATAAGAAAAGAGTGACATTTTTTCTACTACACTACTGTGTATCTATAATGTGATCAGATTTTTTATTTCATATATATCTCGACTTCGGTAAATGATCAAAGTTTGATTTCTTTGCCAAAAGAGGTTCCATGACAAGCTCTATAAACGTTGTATGATCGAATGCCTTTTTATCTGTTCTAATGGTTTTTCTAATATACTTAAAATGAACAACTGACATGACAGGATCACTTCTCGTCATTCTAAAAGTGTTGGAAGAATTGTCTGTTTTGCATATATCTTAATTTGAGAAAATGATAGAAAATTGAATTTTTTGTAAAAAGATGTGCCACCGAAAGCTCTACGAAAGTTGTATAGACCAAATTCTATAGCAAATGAGAAAAGTCCTCGAAACATTTTTTGGTAGGATGTGAAGAGACACTGTCATGTAGCTTGTTCATTTTGAGTATTAGAAAAACCATTAGACTAGGAATTCAACTGTACAGCTTTTATAAAACTTTTCACGGTGCATCTTTTGGAGAAAGAACTCAAGATTTTTATCATTTATCTAAGTTGAAATATATATATATATACGAAATAAAAAAATCTTAGAATATTATGGATACACAGTAGTGTAGTAACAAAAAGAATGTCGTTTTTTTTTCTAATACATTCTTTACACTTTAAAATGCATTTGGTGTTCAACGTAAGTGTACCAAACGGTGCAGCACGTTACCCGCTTTCTCTCTCTCTCTCTATGTTTAGTAGTAGGTTAATAAAGAAAAGAAGTATAGTAATAAAAAACAAAAAACAAAATGAAAGGAGTAAAATTCAATTGGCCCTCCGCTCTACTTGTAGCTATTTTGCTATAGTTTCTTGTCATATACCTAATGAGAAAACACTCACTGTATAATCTATATATTTCAACCATGGTGGCCTCTTTTGTTTCTCAATTAGTTGTCTTGTTTTGTTTTGTTTCCTTCATTTTATGTCCATAGAATATGAGTACATTGTTTTTCTATTTATTTCNATTTATAAATGAAAACATGAGGTAGAAGAGCTGCAATGGTCATTATGTCACGTGTTCAAAAGTCTTACTTATTATGTGATATTTTCTAGTCTTCGATTACTAAGAAAAGATATTACCACCTCTCAGCAGATGGGAAAAAACCATCAATACATTCAGTTATACATGCTGTCTTATTATTATCCATGACAGGGGTTTAAGTCAGCTCTTGATGCATGGGTGGGGAGCGTAATATCATCGTCATGGTCACTTATACCATGTGCTATAGACAGACCAATTTCGATTTCTAGACCCTATCCTTTCAGTCAAGGTAAAATTTCTGTCTAAGTTATGGTCTCTCTTTATAGTTCTGTTAAATTATATATTAACGCTGCTGTCAAAACAAAAAAAAATTATATCATTTGAATGTCGCTCATATACCGCAATCTTAACTTCTTCACAATTAACACTAAATATAGCAAAAACATCTGGCACATTGAAGTGTTCTAATATTTGTAATTGATTAGAATTTCATTAAATTCAAGTCATCGACACCTAAATAATATTATACAAATTTGTAACATTGA